CTTCGACTCGGCAAGGATGCCTGGCACAGCCACACTTCTGTTGCTTTCCGCTGGGCACAGAGTTTTGCTGGCGCAAGGCTGTCAAATTCACTTCGATTTTGGCCTCAGCTGGGGCTTCATGCTTTCACAAAAATTTCCCCACCGCCTTTCACTCGGGGTCCTTGGCTGGGACGCGGCTGCACGCACAGCTCGCTTAATGGGCACGAAAAAATGGAAGGAAGCTGGGGGAATGGGGGGGGGCGGAAAAAATAACAACGCGAACCAGTCTAAACCTTGGGGTATCTACAGGGTCTGCATCTCTTTAAAAACGATACACAGACATTCCTGGTCGAAGTGAAACCCTGCTTCTCACAGAGGACTGGAGACAGCAAATGAAGCCTTAGTCATACACAGTTAGTTTCAAACTTATGTTGCTGCTTGCAGGGAGAAATCAATGTACAGTATATTAAAAACAATCACCGCGGCCCTTAAATGATCCAATAGTTTAGCTTTGAATGCATTCAAGCTAATGGGGGCTTTAATGGCTTCTGACAGATCATTCCATTGATCAAGAGACATGTATGAAATATGCTGCCTACTAAACGCTGTTTTGATTTTGAGAAAAGAAAACTAAGCGTCCATGGTAAACAGGGCTTGATTGTTCCGTGTTCCCCGGGAGCCCTCTCAGCCTGACCCTGGTCGGCAGCAGTTGGGGGGAGCACAATGGGAATCCTATATACCTGGCTTGCTTCTTTCCTGTCTCTCTAATCAAGGCGTAATCAACTGGAAATCTCTGTCTAAAGAGTTGGGGGTGGGGCGGGGGGCAGGAGGGTGGCCAGAGAACCCGCTTTCTGTGTTGGATGAGATACACACTTTAGCTGCTCGGGGAAACTGGCTCAGCCCTTTCGGAGCTCCAGGGTTGGTAGGTTAACTGTGCTTGCTCCAAAGTGAAAGACAGAATTCCCTGTTTGAAAGGATAAGAAGGGTCTTCCATTGGAGATGGCGGTCTTGCAAAGAAACAACTCCCTCATCCATGTATTCTGAGGCTCCAATATTATTTTACCAAGGGTTAGACATTACCTCTCCTCAGGTCTGGCACGTTCTGCCCGGTGCATGGCATCTGAAAAGCTTTAAAAAGAGGCGGTAATATCATTCTTTGAGACGATTATTGTGCAAGAAGTGTTTGCAGTCCCCCATCCTCTGGCGGTTCCTCGTGGCCTCAAAAGCGAGCCGGGTGCCACTCCTGTGTCAGACTGGCCTTGCCCGATCAGTAGTGACAAACATGCATGCCACCTCCTCCATTACCCACCCAAATGAAACTGGCTCACAAAATAAATCCTTCTTCTCCTTGGAATTAGCGTTCACAAAGTTCTCCCAAATGGGGGTCTCTGCTGTGGGGGGTTTTCCTATGGGGTTTCCTCCAGCTTGCAGCCCCTCTGGGAAAGGCAAGCAGGGTGCCTCTGAAACTGGCACCACGAAGGTGGTCTTTATTTAATCTTTAATGCCTAGCACGACAGCAGAGGACCTTCCTGTGGACAGTCACGAACCAAGCGGGTCAGAACAGCTCTGAGCACACAGGGTCCGGAGCCACTGTGCTTTTCCTAAACTTCCTGTACAACGGCCTTGACCTTTCGGTCTCCATCCGTGGGGGCACAGTGCTGTCTTCAGCCAGCAAGTGCCATCTCTCAGCAGGAAGCTGCTGCACTTACCAGATTAAAAACACCGGGCAAACCCGCGTGCTCCAAGCTCTCATTTGTATTGGTGCCATGTTTAGTCAGTGGCTTTTGTAAAATTGATGAATTTTGTCTAAAGGCAAGTGCAGACAGGCAAACAGATCTGTATCTGCTGTTATCCATTTAGCTTGACACACATGTGCGTTGGAACTATTTTATCTCGATTCTTGCAGGACTGATGAAGAGTAAATGCAAGCAAAGTCATGAACTGCACCATTGCAAAAGAATCATCGAATCTGGCGCTGGAAGTTAATTAATGCTTCCCTCCCCTTGAAATAGACTGACCCTGCTACTTAGACATTCAGAGTCAATAAACAATTGTTGTACACAGACCATCCATTAGAAGGTGACGGCAAGAATTTTTTAAGCAAATGTAAAATTGCAATGGGTGACCTAATCCCGCTGTAGTAATGTGAGTACTAAAGAATCATTTTTCATAGTATCTCATTTATAAAAAGGCCCACGCTATCTGCCCAGAGAAAAAAATGGAAACTGTGAGGAGCAAATGGGATAACCTGGGATGGAAGTGTATTATTCCGGCACTTACTATGAGACATGATGTGAATCACTTAACATGCACGATCGCGGGGACAGAATAGTCCCGTGAGCCGGGCGTTCTCATCCCCCTTGTTGTATAAACAAAGACCAGAGCACAGAGAGGTCAAGTGATGTGCCTGAGTCACACAGCTACAACTGTTATCCCAGGAAGCAGGGATGATAATCGTTAGAGCCAGTACTGAAGACCTGTGCGAGCCAGGCACTGATGGACGTTAACCTATGTAGGCTTCACAACCACCTCCGGTGGTAGATGCGTTACTATTATTCCCATTTTGTAGACAAGAAAACTGAGGTTTGAAAGGGTGGGTGGCCTTAGGGTCATAGGCAGAGCTGGGACTCTGCAGCCAGAAGGCTCTATGGCCACTGACAATCAGGAGATTCCGAAACCTGATCGATGGTTGCGAGGAGGACAGAGCAGGGGCGCAGAGGGGACTAGTCTTCAATTTGGGCACGACACCAGGAAGAACATCTCGCCTCTAGCTGAAACTGGGACTGTCGTCGTGTGAGAAGGGGGTTGGTGAGCTGAAGGACTGTGGGGCAGCGCCATTCCAGGCTGCGGCGCAGTCTGGCCCCTCCAAGGCTGCAGCAGGGGACCTGGGGCCACTCACACTTTCTTCCTTGTTAATAAGAGAAACGAGAAACAGACCTTTCAGATGCTTTCCTGGAGCTCCCAGCCAGCCTGGGAATCTATCGGGGGCCTCTCAGGTGAGCTAGAAAGCCAGGTGTATCCCTTTTCCCGACAGCCACTGACACCTGCCTCCCAGACACAGCAACAGCCATGGGTGGCTTGGCTGTCGTGCAGGAAGTCGTTACTGGCCGGCTCCCCTGCCTGTCCCCTTTCCCACCCAGCCTCTTAAAGCTGCCGCCTTCCCGGCAGCCGCAATCGTTACAACACTCCTGGGCCCCCCTCCTCCTTTATGGTTGTCAAATTGATTTCACCACCGCGATACCTATGGCTCCCAATGAAACGTAATTAAAAAAACCATTTAATCACCAAGTAACAAAGGCAAACGGGATAAACGGCATTACCACTTGAGCGCATTTTAATCCACACCGCTCCTCTCCTCAATCTGCTCGGAGGAGAAACGCCTTTCCAAATACGAATCCTGTCGTCCATGTGCTTGCCTCTGACAGGTCTCCAAAATAAACAGTAGTTAGTGTGGCATGGGTCCAAATGTATGCAATTTGCCCACTGGTAAAAATCAGCCTGAACTAGAGCAGGGGGGGGGGGGGGGAGTTGCATTTGAAAATACCGTCCCTTGAAACACATACAAAACCTTCCCCTGAAAGTGGGGTATCTGTTAAACAGGGCCCATGGCATCTCACTGCTGGCGTCCCTCGATTCAGTTAGTGATGGATTTAGAAGCTTATTACTAAAATTGTGTCACAAGCCATGCCATGACCCTGCTCTTTTCTGTCCAGCAAAGTCCCCTGGGCTGGAGGCTGCAGAGAAAGGAGCGGTAGAGGAGTGAAGGAAGCGGTAGAGGAGTGAAGGAAGCGCCTCCTCCACTTGCAGGGGCTCGAGGGACATATCCCGATCTCAAGAGCTCACTCCGGAAGGAGGGACATTCCCAGTGAGAAAGCCGGCCCTTGGGCTGAGCTGCCTGCTCTCAGAACCCTCTGGAATCCACATAGCAGCCAGGGCAGTCATCTAGAAGCAGATCGTATCAAGACTCCAACCCTCTCTGCAGAACCTGCGGGTTTCTTGGGGCACTGAAATCAAATCCAAATGCCGGTCCAGCCTCCGCTCAACCTGCATCTCCCCCTGCAACCCCCGCCCCGTTTCTCTCTGCTTTGGCCACAGGGCCCTTTTCTCCCCTGAGCACCCCACCCCAAGTGCTTTCCAGGAAAGCCCCCGTCCCTCACACCCTTGCCCTGACCTCCTAGCCTAAGCCACCCTTCTTCAGCCCCCAGCTGCCCTCCATCGCCTCACCCAGTGGGTTCCCTGATGTTTATTTACTGGTCTATTGTCTGCCTCCCCATTGCAGGGTAAGTTCCTATTTCGATCGCTCCATATCCCCAGCACCTGGCATAGGGGCTGGCACAGAGGAGCCCCCGGAAGGCAGGGACCTGTCCTTGGGTGCCTGGACCTCAACACACCGCTGAGCTGTGGGACGGTGGGGGGGCTTGCTTCAGGCCATTTTCCTCTGGGACGGGCAGGGAAAGTGGGGACCCTCACTCAAGGCGGTCGGGGATAGGCTTCCCCGCTCCCTCAGCCACACGCCCGGCCCGTGCTCCCAGGCCAGTCCTTCATTAGTTCACAGGGGGAACAGGCTTTCCTTTGGCCCCCCAGGAACTGAGTTATGACCCCAGGAGCCCTCATTTTATCGCCTCTGGCCTGCCCTCCTTCGACGCACCGGAAATCTCCCCAGGAGCATATATCATCCTCAAACACTCGGAACTCTTGCTCATTGAAAGCCACCATTTCCTCTGAGAAAATGCGGGCCTCACCTTTCGGATTCACTGTGGATAGCGGTGTCTCCGGGCCTGGCTGTCATCACCTGGCCCCTTAGAGGACTTTGAGAGCTAGCTCCACCTGGCCAAAGCCCGGCCAGGAAGCAGGCCCACCCGCCGGTGTGCAAGGAGAAAAGCGCAGGGCCTCGCTTGGTTTTATATTTCGTCCCTGTAATGTTTTTATTGTTTATGGATGAATGTTTTGATTGATGTACACGGCACATTAGTACAAGCAGTCCATGAAGACAGTGCGATAGTAATACACACATGCTGGGGTAAGCACTAAACATTGTTTATTTCTACCGAAGGGGTCAAGCAAGCAGGTTTGGAGTGCTGACAAGAAAGCGTGAAGCTCATTGGGTTTCCAGTAAATGACACGAGAGAGCGACAGGGGCCACGGAGGGTCCGCACCCCACCTATGAGCAAGAAGACACGTAGCTCGTCGCCACTGCTGGGACGGAGGCCGAGGGCTGCCCAATGTTCTGAATTCTGAAGCGACTACACACGTTTTTATAAGAAATCGCCCAATTTTAAAATATTGGCACCTAATGAAATACAACAAAGAACAAACATTGTGGGACCAAATCAAACGCTAGGCTAGATGGCGCCAAGGGAGCGCAGTCCGTGACTTCTCTGTGCCATGTACTCCTCACCTGCGTGATTCCATCGAAGGGAAAACCACTCTGTGAGGCCCGCCTCACCTCCTTTGCGGATGAGGACATTGAGGGACATCAGGAATTCACCCAACGTCTGAGAGGCCGAGTCTCAAGATGAGGAGACCCTGGCTGCTCTGAATGAACACACACCGTGAACCAGTGCGATTCTGAGGACAGGAGAGGTTTGGTCTTTGTGCTCCTCTCTACGGGCCAGAGGTCTTCACCTTCAAACTACTGCAGTTACGAAAGAAGGCAGCGGGCTGGGGAGAGGGTCGAACTATTCTCACGATTCCCAGGGTCACCAAAGGGCAGGAGCCAGGCCCCAAAGGGAGAGACGTGTGCATGGTCTCACAAGACAAAAGTGGCACAAGGGTTCAGGGAGGGAGGGGAAAATGTCTACATCAGGTCAGCTTACTGACATATAATCATTCTAATATTTATTGGGTATTCAGCTACATGTCAGACATTGTTCTAATAAGTCTGTAGCTAGATTATTTCAGTGGATCTTCACCTTGTGAACTGGTGCCTTCAGTATCCCCATTATATAGATGAGGAAACCGAGGCCCAGTGACATGTCAAAGGTCACAAAGCCAGTGGGAGTTTTGATCCGGGGACTCTCAAGCCAGAGCCCAGGCTCTACCCTCTGCTCTACGTCGTCCCTCCAACGCTCCAATGGCAGCAGGATGGGGCGCCGGGGTTCTTCAAACCTCAACCTCACCTGTCATGACATGCAAATGAGGGAATTCTAGGAAAAAAAAACCCCAACATGATGCTGGCTTAATCCACGAAGCGGTTACACAGGGCTGCGTGTCTTTCATTTGATCAGGGAACCGTCCTGAAGGGTGGATGGCAAGTTTAATTTTCATTTTCAACACGTCTCCATTCCTGTGTGCAGAGTACAGGACTCATAAGTCAGGCTTTCACTTAGGTCGTTCTCAGAGAAGGGGAAGGGGCTTCAGTGAGTCGTGTGTCTTTTCATTTATTCCGCCTATGGGGACAGCAGCTACAGAGAAGGGGAAAAGGAAGATCTCCTGCCCTCGAACTCTGTGTAGAAGTATTGCCCACTAGGACTTCCCACAGCGGCTATTAAGCACTTGACATGTGGCCAGTGCAACGGAGGGACCGAATTTTTAATTACAATTAAAGTGGAATTTAAATTGAAGAAGCCACAGGTAGCTAGCGGTCATGTGCTCTTGCATCTCCGAAAAGGGCTTGAGGAGGAGGAAAGTAGGTTGGGCTCTGCCACAGGCTGGGGCTGCGCTTGTCACCTCCCTTAGCCTTGGGGGCTGAATGGCTCACACTAAAAATCCAAGTGGGGGATAATTTGGGGGGGGGGATAATTTTTTGGGAGGATCTTGTTTAATACCAAATCATATTATAACACCGTGTCATTTAAAAACATTTTAACATTCGTGGGCTCCATTCCCTAGCTGTTTCTCACTGGGACCCAGGTCCTACAATCTAAAAGAGTCTACCCACAATGCTTTTGCCTGAGCCACGGCAAGGATGGAGGGCGGAAGCCAACAATCTTTTTCCTCCTCCACCTGTGACGCGAGCTCTTTCTAGGCTTTCGCTTCCAGCAGCAGACCTCTGAGCTCTGCAACGATGTCTGTGAGGTCGAAGGGCAGAGGCATCGAAGGGTCGTCCTTCTCCCAATACGGCCGACACTCTGGCTTCTGATCCGCCGGTAAAGTTCGGGCAATTCGGGACTGGCATCTGGAAGAGTAAGAACAGGCAATTCACCCATGGGAGGACATTCCTGGAACACCCAAACTCAAGGACTACTTGACGTGACACTGCCAAAGGCTCCAAAGGTAGTCCTTTGTGATGATGGCGGTGATGGGAGGATGAACTTGTAAGGCAGAAAGCAGGTGTGTATAATAAGAAAGAATTACTCTTTATGGTACTGTTTTTTTTTGTTGTTGTTGGTTTTGTTTTTCTTAATTCCCAGATTTGTATTATCTCTAGTGGCTTCGTAGAAGCCAATCATCAGGGAAATTCAGTTACTCTGCCTTTAAAATGGTGAATTATTTTTTCATTATCTCAACTGTTATTTAAAGTGTGTGATTAAGCCATTATCAGATTTAAATGTTTGTGGGATTTCAATGTATTACTAGATTACAGGGAAAGATTAAATTGAATTTACTGCATTAAAACGTCCAAGAATAGATTAAACAATATTACAGACCAGGATTGACTTCGGAGATCCTGGAGATTTACAAGGGGTCCCAGCTTGCTGTGCTCAGAAAAAGGCACTCCAAGGAGAGACCGGTTTATAAGGATATATGCAAATAGAGGTTAATAATCATTTCCACTGATGAATAGGTGGGGAAAACTTCCACAAAATTAAATTAAGAGGCTAGCAAGACTTACTCCCTAAGGAAAACACTTAAATCACGGTTTTTATTAAACGGATTATTCATCAATAGTAGAGAAAATTAATTATCATATGCAACTAAATCATAGCCTTGTAGGAAAAAAGTTGGGACCACACCATCACACTTTGGCAGGCATCTACCTCTCAGAGAGACCTACTTCTTTAAAATTGGTCTGGCAAAGATTAGTGGCTTTAGCTTTATTTATCTGAAAGAAAAAAAAAAAGGACCAGGGAGAAGGAAACACAAATTGCAATAAAGAATAAACAATTTCTCTACTCTTTTGGAGCCCATGGTGGTAAAAATGCGTGCATTGAAAAGGAATACGGATACTCCTGGACTTACGATGGGGTTACTGTTAAACCCATCATACGCTGAAAATACTGCAAGTCGAGAGAAAATGCATTTAACACATTGAGGACGGGGCGTTTAATACACCTAACCCATCAAACACCATAGCTCAGCCTATCCTACCTTAAACGTGCTCAGACCACTTACACCAGCCTACAGGTGGGCAAAATCATCTCTCACAAAGCCTATTTTATAACAAAGCGTCGAATAGCTCATGTAGTGATTTTTTTACACGTATCTCTTTTGCACCATTGGGTAGTCAAAAAATCAGAAGTCGAACCATCGTAAGTTGGGGACGGTCTACCAAGAGTTGCATGGGTTCTTCTCCCTCAGTCCCCTTCCTCCCTTCTCTGCATTGTTCTCTAAATCAATTAAGATGTGGTCATACCCACTATTTGTCTTCTGTGCGGTATTAACTGTGAAAAGATCACAAATGCAATGTCCAAGCCTGATGGTAGAGGAGGTTCCTAACTCAAAGACATCTTCTCTGGGGAATTATTAATGGTGAGGGGATCCCCACAGGAAAACATACTTCAACCGAACACCTATTTTCTCCTGTGGTTAATTGCTATACCGGCATCCTATGCACTCAATCCGTCGCACATTACACAGAACATTCCAATATATCTTGAGCTCTCCACATCAGGCCCTGATAATAGCATCTGTTAACATGCACTAAGTACTATTATGCAGCACATCACTTCATAAATAATAAGATTAGCTGACCTCAGGGCCCCACGAAGAGTAATGTGTTTAAATGTTCTCATTATTTATTTAAAACAAGAATTAAGGCAACAGAAGCTGCTTTTGACAATCCTCTTAGCATAAATATTAAACTGTTTGCACTGATAAGCCCCACGCAGCACAGAGTCCGTAACAATAGGTGTTTGAGACTGCCGCTCGCTGGCGAGGTTCTGAGGGTGTGTCTCTGTACTTCCAGAGACAGTCTTGGGGGAAATTAATGTTCAAAGGAAGCCACGGCTAATTACAAAGGAACTCTGCAAAGCTTTTTCAACCAGGCTTTCTCTTCTGCCTCGGAATCCCCGAGTAACGTTCCGCGTGCGAGGTAGAAAAAGTTACCCCAAAGAGAGCCAGCCTTTCGATCTCACAGCGGAGAAATTATGTGTGCGCACAGTATCCTGGTTGGCAGATTAAAGGGCTGTGGTGAGTGTTGATGCAGCCAGAATATTGTAGGGTTTGTCAAAAGTCAATAGAGATGCTTTTTCACTTGTCAAATGGGTTTTGCCCCCTCACACTGAGAAAGTATTGAAAACATTACAACCTGCTGCCGAGGCTTGCTGAGGCGTGTTGTACTAGCTTCCTCAGCCCCTGAGCTGCTTTGGGGGGACGGAAGAAGACGTTCCATGATTTTCTGCTATTATTCTTCTCAGCAAAGGACGGGTTGGTGTGAGGACCACCCCCTTTTCATCCAGGCCCCGAGGGGCTAGGAGTTGTGTGTAGTCACTATGCCCCTTGGGGCCAGACGTAGAACCTGACTGGGTTCCTTAGGGGCCTTAATTGATGTATTTCAAGGTCACCTGAAAGCTTTTCTGTTAGGGCCCGGTGCTCCTTGCCCGTTTCCAAATGGTAGTGATTGGGCCCTGCAGAGGGCTCGTGGTTGAGGTGACGTCTTTACCTCCGAGAAACGACCATCACCCCCAACTCAAATTAAATTGTCTGATTCAACTTCAGGTCAGACTGGAATTGAAAAAGCAAGGACTGAGGATTACTTGAAGGCAGAGCCCCTTTGGACCTTTAACTTGTCTTGCCTCATCGCTCCTTCTGCCTTTTTTCCATCTCCGTTTCCTAAGCTGGGGAAGCCGGGAGACCGAGGCATCACGGTTACGAGGGTTGAGAGTGTGTTCTCGGCACACTGGGAGCCGCTGCTTCCTAGAGGCGTGACATCTTGGGCACGTTGCTTACCCTCCTCGGCCCTCAGTTTCTTGTCCATCAGGTGGGAACGATGAAGACGATCACCATCCCTTAATGGGGTTGTTGTGAAGGCTGAATGAATGAGTTCGTGTGAGGTGCTTAGTACACTCCCTGGCACATAGAAAGCACTCGATAATCTCGATAATTACGAAATGCCATTATCGCTATGGTTACTTCTACTGCAAGTACCAGTGATGCCGAGGGACACCGGCTGTCCCTGTGGCAGTCCCTTCCCTGCACACAAACCGAGTGGGTGGCCTCTGGGCTGGCTCCTTTTGGGGAAGCGCTGCAGATACAGAAGCAGCTCTTTCTGGCTTGAATCAAATTGGGCCTGTGGCTGAATCCTATCACAGTGTGACATTCCAGGACGCTAGGGCTTATGTGTTCAAGCTGCTACAACTTTCCGTGACAGGCTAAATGCTCCGATTCAGAGAGACTTAGCAGGCGTTCCTGAAGACCCAGGGTTAATAAAAGGGGCTGCTGCAAGTGGTGGCCATTTCAGAATGATTCAGAATGATTGGGCACCTACAGGAAATAAAGTTGAGTTGTTTCTTATCCTGCAGTCCCTTGCAAAATACAGGGGCGGGGGAGTACGTTCTCTTAAGAAATGTTAGGGATACTCACTGGTGGACATTACGCGTCTTGTGTATATTCCCACCTTTCCTACAAAAAGGAGTCTCATTTTCCTGGGGAAGCCATCCTTCCCCATGCTTAGCCATCGGGTGGGACTGGCCTCACCTCCACAGCCAGGGGAGAGTTGAGACTAGCTTAACCCACTCGGCACACCGCACTCCCTCAGCCTCGGGCAGCGGTTTACGGGAAGGCACGTGACCCAATCTGGGGTAAGAGTGAGAGAATAAAAATCAGAGGACTGGTTCGGGAGCTAAGGAAAAAGAATTTCTAATCTCCTGGTCTGTGAACTATTAGGATGTGTGATTTGGAGCTACCAGAGCCATTTTTTACCATGTAACGGGCTGGGTCCTGGGAGATACTGTCTGAGTAGCTGGGTCAAGCCTCACTTGAAGCTAAGTATGCTTAGACTTTTCCAGGTCCCTGAGCTCTTGTCGTCTGAGTTAGGTTTTCCCGTCACTTGCAACCCAAGGAGTCCTGGCTGATGGCTGGCCACTGGCCCCCCTCTCAGTACTTCCCTGCTTTTACCACGCCTACTTCCTGAGCCTGCCTGCCACGTGGGTGCTGGTGGTCCTCTCTCTAAACGACATGCTGCTGACACAATGCAGTGTGTACAGAGACCATCTGGGTTATTAAAGCCCTTGTTTTTGGTTCACATAATATTCCTGTTTGGGACAAATTTTTATCCAGAAAACAAGGGAAAGCTAGTGCCATACACACTGGCCTTTGAATAAAAATAAGCCAGTTTTAGTGTCCAGAGCTGGATAATCTTTCTAAAGAAAGTTACAAATTTTCCCCTACACTCACTGTTCCCAAGAATAGCAGATTATTTGGACTCCTATGAAAGAATATGAAAGTTACAGTTTCCCCTTCAACCCTGTCCCCTCTACTCCTGTCCTAAAGAAAAACCCTATTTTTAATGCTTTGGGTTAACAAATAAATGTGGATCTACTCAGAAACCTCTGTTCTTTTCATGGAGCACTGCAAGAGGGAAAAGAAAAATAATATAAACTTCATCTCTCTCCCTCCCAAATTCACGTTATTTCAATTCAAAGGACTCTCTCTAACCCACCTTCCCCATCCCCAAACTCCTGCTACTTAGGAATGGTTCTCCCTGAATGATCTGGTGACATAACAGGAAGCAACTAAAAGGTGTCACATTGGCTGTCCTATTATCAGACTATGGTGAGGTCCCCCTCAGGTGTAACTCATACGGGGCCCACTGCCCGCTGAGTTCCCCCCAGGGTGACACTTACATGCGAGTGACCAGGGTGGCAGCTACATTAGTGGACACCGGTTGCCATGCTAAAATTAACCACTTTAGCTAAAGTGTGTGTTAATTATGGGTACGCAAGCAGTCAATAAAAGGTTAATGCAAAAGTCAAAGGAGAAATTTCTTCACTTATTGCATCACTTCACAGACTAAAT